TATTAAAAATATCTAAAAAAAAAAAAAAAAAAGAAATTTTCAATCTCGAAGGAATAACGGAAACGTGACGTCAAACGAGAAGCTGGGAGCCATTATTTCCAGGAGAGTAATTTTTCTTTAAATTTATCTTTCAATTAATTCCTAGAAATCGCTTCTAAATGACACCATTTCTTTCTTAAGACTCAAATTAAGAAAGAAATAATGCTATTATCAGCCTTAAAAGTACATAATTGAATTATGTCTTCGATAATCGTACTTAATAGCGATTTCTTTTCTTTTTTTTATTTTATTTTTATTTTAAAAACTTTCCAATCAGTCCTGCTTTATTTTCATTAGTTATTTAAATCGAATTAATTATAATTAATCTTATAAATGTAATTGTAGTTAAAATTGCGTAAAAGAGCAATCTCCTCCATCGTCTGTTTGCATCCGGCGCCATCTTGTTTTTTTCTGATCAAGGCTTCGTGATGATAATAATAATAATAATAATAATAATAATAATAACTGCTTTTATGCTAATTTATTGTATAAAATATGTTATAATTTAATAAATTTCAGGTTTATTGAATAGATTTTTATGCCTTTAAAAGTTGCTATTTTATAATAAGAGAGAGTAATAGTGATGTGTAGTATATACGGGCGCCATTTTGTTTTCTGAGAATAATAACTGCTTTTATTCTATTTTCAGGTTATTTATGGGGTAAAACACGTTGTAATTTAATAAATTAAAGGTTTCTCGAATATATTTTATGCTTTAAAAGTTGCTATTTTATAATAACAGGCTCAGGAAGAGAGTTGAACTCTATATAACGAATTGATGTGAGAAAAGAGACTTAAAATAATGCTTCTGCTATATACACGAGGTTTACTACGCTTTATTAATGTAAGTACTATATTAAATTTTGAACTATTTAATAATATACAAGGAATAGCGTTATTTCGAATAATATATATTTAAGCCCTACTAATAATAAGTTTAAAGAAGATATACAATCCATAAAAGTATTACATTTGCTTGCTTTGTAGTAAATTAGAAAGAGAACTGCACTCGATATAACGACATGATAATAACTCGAAATAACGCTTTATACTGTAAACAGTTTATTAATTAACTTATGTAAAGTTCATTAGGTTTAAACATATAACCCAAATCAGCTCGATTAACTAACTCACCCCGATATAACGACCTCAACGTTACATCGAATAATCCTATTGTAAAGTAAGTAAATGCTTACATAATTCATTTAATTAAATCGTGTCATATACAGTGTAAAATCAATAAAAATAAAATGCAGAAAACCCTTGATATAGCGACACAATACGATAACATTAAAACAATGCTTATATAATTAAAGTTTAGGTGGAATTTAAAGTTTATTACATGTAAAAGGATGGTAGAAATCAAATTATGCGCCTAATGTACCTCAATATAGCGCGCCTAGCGTTATTTCGAGTGATTAAACTGCATAAAATGAATATCTATATTGTTTGTAGTATTAAATCAATAGAATTCAATTGAAGAAAATAAGTCGTTATATCGAAAAAAGAACACCTCGATATAACGTCAATGTACTGGGATGCAACTCGATATAACGCTTAAGCTTAAATAGCTTCTTAATTAATTATATTAAGTTTAAATAAATGTTAAAAATCAAATTTTCTACCTAATTAAATTAAGGTGTCGTGATGTAATAGCGTTATTTCGAATAATAAACCCGGTATAACTTAAGCGAATGTTTACGTTATTCATAATGAGTTAAGTGCGTTATGAATTAATAGAATTAAACTGAATTTTAAGAGAATTTTAAGCCATTAAGTTTATTAATAAGCGTTTTTTTTTTTCGCGATGTTATCACCTCTTTAAAGCGTAACAGCTTAGAGATGAGGCAATTTTATGAGGAAATATCAACTTAAATTAGCGTTTATTCGGAAGAATCATTTTTGAAATTTTAAATAACGTTTATAAAATATTTACACGGCGTGTGCATTAAAGTAATTGGGTCAACTTTAAATTGAATATTAGCGTTATTTCGAGTTAAATGATGATTGCATTATAATGAAGCATTAATGCCCTACAAACGAGCACAATTAAACTCTTATATAGGATATTTTTAACTCATTATTTAACAATGCAAACAATTGCGACAATGACTCGATTATATCAAGATTTAAGATGCGTTATAACGAAGCATTAATGATACAGAATGCGCTGTAAACGAGAACGATTAAACTCTTATATAGTATATATGTTTTTAAGTCATTATTTAACATTTGCGGCAATGACCCGCTTATATCGACGTAGTACAGAATAATATGCGTTATAACGAAGCATAAATAAACGAGAAAGATTAAATTCTCGTATATAATATTTTTGAGATATTATATTGTGTTATTGACGCAACAATGTCCGCTTATAACGACATAACGTGGCTCTGAACAAGATTTAAGTCGTCGTTAAGTGTTATAAAACTTTATACGCGGGCATTATTTATGGTTATACACTAAACAGAGGTTAGCGTGTTCTCTAAGAATGGTGACACGGCGATAAGTAACGACGTTGATGTTACAAATATGGCTAAGTGCGTTACAGACAGACGAAATTAAGCTGTTGCTTAGGCAATTTTAAACACTGTTATAACACTAATGCGCTTGGAATAGCATTTATGTCGTAAGTAGTCTTAAATAATTAAGTTATGAGGAAGCAAAGGTTTAAAAAAAGTGCATTTTGAAACATTTAAAGTTCCTATAATTGTTTTTATTCGAATTTATCTGTTTTAAAACATAAATGCGCCTGTCTTAGGATACTTATCCTGTAAAAGCACCCTCTTTCAAAGGTATAAAGACACTTTGAAATAATTGCTATTGTTTCAAGTATATAACTATTACTGTTTGTGGATGTTATAAATATATCTGTATCAATTGTTTCAAGATGGATAACTGCATGTGTTTCACGTCTATACCTGTTTCAAGTCTCTGTTTAAAGGTGTTGGCTGTAACTGCATCTGTTACTTTTGTTTTGTGTATAACTGTAGTTTCAATTATTACATAATTATTTGTAACTGATTGACGATGATAATTACTTGTTTACATTAACAAAAATCAAACTTCCTAAAGGATATTTTGTTTCTAAAATGCTCAACAATCATCCCAACGAGATTTCAACCCTAAATAACTGACACCTTTGATCTTGTTTTAATTAATTACTACCCTTTGTTGGAGGCAGTGTTCGAAACAAAGGCATTTATAAGAATTTCGAGCATAAATACGTTACAAAATTAATAAAATTTAAAGTTAATTTGCCTATAAATTAACACAATAAGCAATCTAATAATGCCACAGCGTTTATAAAAAACAACACCCCTTTTGGCGTGTTTTACGTAAGCGTAAACACTAAAAATATGACGTCGATCGATTAACCTAAACACAATTAAATTAAGCATTATTTCTAACCATCAAAACACGGATACAAAGTCACTAAAATGGCAACACCATTGGAATATTTCGTCACAAAAGGGGGTGGGGCGGCAGCGTTTGATGTAATTAATAGTATTTTAATTAGTTTAAAACACATCCCACGTAAACAATATTTATCAAATATATTCGAAATCAACGAGAAAAATCGATTGATGCATGCTACAATTCGATTAATAATCCGCCAGGCCAACTTAGTGCCATACTTCAAATAATGTAACATAAACGATATTTATGCTATTAGTAACCATTTTAATTAGTTTAAGAATCCAGCATACGTTCTAAATTACGCTTGTGTACTGTGATAAATTACTAAAATTGGCTTGAATGCCCAAATTAATAACATTAAACGTCGGTAAATGCACGACGGAGCGCACTAAGAGCGCCATTTTTTATGGGAGAATGGCATGGGCAGAGCACATTTTCGCATAAATTTTATAGTTTTTGAGCATTACTTAATTGTAATTAAGTGACGAACTATTTAATAGTAGTAAAAATGTCATTTTTTAATGGGAGAATGGTAAGGGAAGGAGTGATTTTCCATACATTTTACAGTTATTAAGCATTACTTAACTATAATTAAGTGACGAGCCATTTAAAATTAGTAAAACCTCCATCTTTTTAATGGGAAAATGGCAGGGTAGAAGTTATTTCGAATAGATTTTACAACTTTTAAGCCCTTAATTACAGTTAACCTTATTAAGCAATCGCTCTGAGCCTGTTATATTTGCTTTATTTTCATCTTAACTAAACAGTCGATAGAGTTATAACCCTTAATGGTAATACCATATATATATTAAGAATAATTATATAAGGCCTCATATATTATACACAACAAACACTTCATATATAATTCATAATACGGGAGATAACAGTTGATTAAAGCGAATCACCAACGAGGAAGATAATTTGGAATTAATAGTAAAGTTTCCCGGAATTATCTTTAATATAGGGCATTATTTATTTAAATGCTCCCCATTGCAAGGGAGTAAGAATTCCATTGTTATAATGGATAATCTATACATCTTCATAAATAATTTATCGTGATATTGTATATAATTTCAGGGGGTGTGCGGATCGATAATAGAAGAAGATGTACCCACGATGAGAGAGAGAGAGAGGATGTAGGCACACAGAAAGGGAGAGAAAAACAGGAGGAGTATCAATCTTATCATCCAGGAAATTGGCTCTAATGAAACAAGATAAGAGACATTACCCGAAATACTGAAATATCATGAAACAAGATAAATTCCATAACATCAAGGAACATCATAAATTTAACGTTGACGTATAAGTTGAGTGATTTTGACAACTCACGTTTTTATGATCAGCGTCTAAACTGTCCCACATGGACGCGACAATTTTGGACACTTCACCAAAACTGGCGTTTGGATTCTGTCCTTTGATAGCTGCTTGAGTATCCCGGAAGAAAAGTGCATAGGCAGACACTGGTCTGTTACAAAGGAAAAAAATATATATATAATACAATGGTAAGGAAAAAAAACGAAATTTAAGTTATTTATCAATTTATATTGAAAAGGCAATTACATTTTTAGAGAAATATCACAAAAAGAAGAGGTAATTTTATAAAGAATTTCTGGCATTTTTCCAGAGTCATATCTCTCTTTTTTTTATGATTATTATTGTTATTATTTTCTTCCTCCACTCTCCTCCTTTACAGTCGTATACAACTGGAGTAAGCGGGTGGAGGGGACTTTTCGAAAAGTTTGAATAAATTACTTTGGAAAAACGATTTTAAAATTACCTCTTTAACAATTATGATCTATGAAATTAGGGGTAAATTTAATTCTTTAACAAGGATATAAGATGAAGATCTTATTCTTAAAAGTTGGTAGAATAAAGTTATTTTGCTCCGGAATGACTTCTGGATTAGTTAACGTTCCCTCTGTTTGAATTTTCTGAAGATTACACTAGAAAGAGTCCAACTTGTGTAGTATTTTAGAGCCTTTCTACCTTAATTATCACGTTTTGATAAATCTTGAAGGTTTCTGGGCTTCAAGTGATTAAAATCCTTCAAGTAAGCATTAGATTCCTGTAGAATCCTTCACGGAAGCTTCAGGAATCTTTAAGTACGAGTTCAGGATTTAAAGATTCTTGGAAATCGAATGTTGCTTGAATATTCTTAAAGTCGAAATCGTCAAGCAACATGCTACAATCTTCAAGCAGGATTCTATTTTTTGCTTTCTGTTACGTGTCCTTCTAACTCTGCTTTCAGGATACAGAAGGAGAGGAGGAAGGATACCTTGGTTTCTGTCTATTCCTATACTAAGAGTGAATATAGAAATTATATCTATACTTTTAACACCTGTTAAATATCAGAATATTGATGATGGCGATCAAGATTAGAAGAATTAGTATATTTCATCCCAGTTTCTGTTCACTTGTATAAAGGACAACAGTATAAAGGTTGAATAGAGCCTATACAAGTGTAAAGCTGAATAGTGTAAATGTAAGGCTGAGTAGAGTAAGTGTAAGGCTGAGTAAGGTATGTATAAGAGTGAATAGAGTAAGATGTCAGGGTGAACAGTAAGTATAAGGGTGAGTAGGGTAAGTGTAAGGGTGAATACGGTGATTATAGCTGTAACTTTAGAACATTCTAAACAACATAACGTTGGTAACGACGTTGTTGTTAGCACAGAATACATTCAAAACTTCTTAAGAATATCGAAAAATTGTTGCATCTAGTAGCAAATTAATAGGCAAGGATGCAGGAAACGTCCATTTATAATTCTCCATTGCGTTCCCTAAAAATCTAGAAAGAATTCGAGCTTATAAATAAAATCGTAGAAACCCTAAAAGTATCGAGAAGGGAAAGAGTCTCGTGTGCAATGTAAATTGTAAAGTATTGGCATAAGATAGCAAAGAAAATTTAATCCAAAGAAAAATCAAATTACTTTTCTACAACGTTTTGAAACATAATACATTTGTTATTAATATCGATTTTACTCCGTTGTTACTCTTTGGTTTTACATCTTTCTTTATATATATAATATCTTCTTCTGTAAATTGTTTACCATAAAAAAGAGAGAGAGAGACAGAGGAAGAAGAGCAAGAGAGAAACTATAAAAGACAATTCCAACTATATAGCCTCATAAATGAATAAATTTGAAATTCTATCTGTTAGAGTGGGTTCAACTCTAATAGAAATTTTGATAATGGGATCTAAGAGATACTTCCCCCCTTCAAATGCTGATTTAATAAACAAGTGCCACATATTTTTATGTTCCCATCTATATCACTGGACATAAAAAGGGCATGAAAAGTTAAAGGCATCATTCTTCTTTTTTTTTGTTGGTTTCTTTTTTTGTTCTTGTGAAATGAAGAAGTTGAATAAAACTGAATTTTTATCACTATTTTTCTACAGTTTAGTCTACTTTTATCACTATTTTCCGAATTAGTCTCCAATTTTTATCGCTATCTTTCTAGAGTTAGTCTGTTTTTCTACAGTTTGGTTCGTTTTATTAGTGTTCTCTGGAATGAATTAATGCTTTTAATCAATATTTTCTAGAATAAATATATTTTTGATGCTGCTTTTTCCATTTATATCTCTACTTTTTCTCTAGAATCAGGTCTAATTACCTTTCCGGCTGTTATACATAACAGAGGGAAAGTACTGGTCAGAAATGACCCCTCCGTATTCTCTTATACTTACCTTATTATGCCTTACACCTACCTATTCTGCCTTATACTTGCCATATTCAGCCTTATACTTACTTTTACAGCTCTATTCACTAGTATAAAGGTGAATAGAAGTATAAAAGTAAGTGTAAGGCTACCCCTTATAGAAGTGAATAGAAACTGGAATGAAATACAGTAGAGTCCCGAAAACACGGCCTAATGTGGACCGAAGGGTGACCGAGTTTGTGAAAATGCCGGGTTATCGGGAATGGGGTTAAAAAAAGAATAAGTACGAGTGTTTCCTCAGAAATTACTGTACTGTACTTGTATGTATTGTTTGCTTGAGAATACAACAGAGAATAAACTACCCAAATACCCTTAAACAAAGTAAAAGTACGTCCTTTATGAAGGCATAGAGCCTTTACTACATGAAAATGAAAATTAATGAATACATAGTGTACAGTAATTTATCTGATAAGACAGACCTCAGAAAAATACTTTATGAGGCATAAAGCTGTCTATAATGAAAATTAACTAGGGGTTTTTTCGCCCTGCCAGGGTGTGGCCGAGTTATCTGAACTGCCGGGTTATCGAGTGCCGAGTTTTCGGGACTCTACTGTATTACTAATTCTTGCCATTTTTAAATCATTACCATCAACCCAAGATTTTTACATTATTGGACTCCGAGAAACTTGAAATATCGAGAAATGCAAAAATTGGGGATTTTTTTCTGCATGTATAAAGGATAGTGTGAGGGTGCACCGCTTTGTTCGCACAATTTGAAGCTTAATAACTACTGTACCTTCTGTCGAAAATTTCTGAAATTTCGCAAGGAAGTTAACGTATTAGGTGTCTTTATGCTGTTAAATTTTGAAGGTTAAAGGTCGAGGAGGTGAAGAGATAGAAGGGATCGTCCAATCCCACCCCAGACACTACACGTGTCTGGGGTGGGACTGGACTTAATGAAGACTTTTCTCGTTACAATTTTTTAATCAATGTTTTTTTCTAGAATTTACAGAGATTTAATAAGTTACAGGTAAGTAAATTACTATTTATATGCCACAGATTTACCTTTAGGAGATACAAATGTTGAAAATGAATATTAAATATTAATTTTTGGCCAATTTAATCATTAAATGATACAACTATCTTACTTGATTTATATGTTTATAGCAATCTATTTTAGGAAATATGCTTTTTATCTTGATGTTACGAGTCTAATCGTGTTTACAAACAGAAAATTCATGTTCCAGTACAACTGTAAGTACTGTACTTTAATCTTTGCTGCTTAAGAAGTTATCAGATTGCTTATAAAAATGCCATTTTTTAAAAATTAGTTTTAGTGTGGTTAATCACTAAAATATGCAGTTGTATGCAACAACTGTATGCCTTTAATGATTAGAAACAAACCTAATACACTATTTTAAGTTACAGATGAGAGAAAATTCATCTGGGATCATGCTCATGACAAGAAATTGAGATTTAATTACAGAAAATTCAAGTGTTATCCCACTTGTACGTACTAAAATGCAGCATTTTTAAAGCCTACTATAGTTAAGAAGAAAAACATACAATTCAATATATAAATCCAATCATATTTATAGCAAGAGGATAGTTAATGTCCAACTAGACTGAAGAGGATCCAAGTGAAAACATAAATCTCTTATTACTAAACAAAAATATAGAATTTTACGTTTTATAATAGTCGAAACGGTAGGAGAAACTCTCCGGAAGATGGAAAAGGTAAACCACTTCTTATATATTTAGTTTCACAAATAATTGATACGCGCATACATTTTTACTTTTCCCCCTTTTTTTTTAAAGTGAAACACATATATAAAGAAATTTATGGCAGGGCCATAAATAAAGCAGACATATCATTATATATTAAAATATAAGTGAAGAAAAATGAGATATTTTATTTCGAGAAGTGACCCTTTCATTTTTATAGTGGAGAGAGCTTACGGAATAGGTTTTTGACATCTAAATCCAATCATGTTGTTTTTTCAAAGTTATTTTGTAGTCTGTAATAAAATGGAGTAATAAGCCAATACTTTGTGAATGTAGTCCTCTCTCAAGGGGTTCTTCCTATCTGCATTTCCAAGACGGTTATTTAAATATCACGAGATTCTAAAAATCTTTTGGTTTTTTCCCCCTCTCCCTCCTCCTCCTCCCTTCAGAATCACTAAAATGGAAAGGGAAGAGGAGGAAGAATATATATATAAAACTAGGGATGGGGAGGAGGAAACGAAGGAGTAGAATAAGGAGGAGGAGGAGGAGAGAAGAAGAAGAAGAAGAAGGGAAGAACTTTCTCCGAAGCAAAAATCATCTTTAGCATTCAACAGTTCTATTTTCTTCAAATCTCCATTTGAATTTGTCTCTGCGAAACAACCAATCATGAACGAGTTGCGGAAAAAACCTAATAGAATCTGATTTGAAGTCAGCAATGCATAAAGATTGAAATATTGGAAGTACTAGGCAATTTTCGTTGGTGCTTCATATCCAACCATGTCAGTACCGTGCCATAGACTATAATAAACAAGTTGTAAAATTCTCCTATCCCTCCTGTTTTCAATGTAGATTTTCGATTGAGAGATTGAACGTCTGAGATGGAATATATTTTTCTTTCTTTCTTTTCTTTTATTTTTTTTCTTTCTCTCTTTCCTCCCTCTTACCGGGCTATTCACGGATATTAGATTTTTTGCCAGATGAATACAAAGGTTTATTGGGAAGGTAGTTTTATATTGTCTTTCCCTCTTCCTTCTCCTTCTCTCTGTCTCTCTTTCTTGGTTGTAAATATATAAGAGGGCAGCATTGTAGATAATAGAAATTGTAGTTTGAATCTTACATCTGTCTGATTGTACCCTTGTCAATCACCTTACACTTTAAAGACAATGACTGGCTTTTTTCTTCTTATTCTTCCTCCATCCCTCCTCCACCTTTATCCAATATAAAGGATTTACTACCAATTTCATGCAAATTGCATTGATGAAAAGTGATCTGTTGAATTATTTTGCGGCCTTTGCGTATTCCCCTGGTTAAAGGGATTTATTGTCCTTTTCTGTAAGCGATTCATTTGTAAAAAAAAGGAAAGATAAATACGTTGAAATATTACAATCGAAATTAAGTTTTGCCAGTAAGGATTTCTAAATTATGATTAACGTAGAGGTACTCGTGAGGTTAATTGTGTTTTGTCAATGAGGAGGATTTTTAAATTACTATTAATATATGCGCTTATATTTATACACATTGCAGCGCGTTATGTATAAAACATCTTTTAAAATATGCATTTTACATTTAAATTTTCACAATTTACGCATTGTTTTTAACATATAATTCAGTCGTAACTACTCAGATTAATGTTAAGCATCTTCGAAGTCGTGCTCTTTACAGTTAGTAAACATCACCCCTCTATATCTCCATTATACACCTCTCTCTATATCAACTTAAAGGTGTTGAAACGTAAGCAATCTCTCTAGGTGCTCCTAACTCTCACTTAACGTTTCATTTTGTGATTATAAAGCGTTCCGATAGTGGGCCTATATATATATATCATTCCCCTGCCAACAGGATAAATCACCAGTTTTAATTTAAGATTAGAAAGCGGATTTTTCTAGCTTTGGTTTACTTATTATACTGCAGATAGAGGGAGAGATAACGTGATGATACATGGATCCTTTTCTGTAAAGTGCACCAGTGACGGGGATGTTTTGACGTTGGAAACGTTAATAGAGGTTTCGCAGCTCATTCCCAAACGATATTTTAACTAGTAGCCCAACGTATACGGATGTTTTAACAAGTGATATTTTATAGATTGGTCTCATTGCGATAATAACGCTTTTTACCAACAACACACCTATATACTTAAAACGATTGAAGTCAGGAAGATACAAGGGGATGATAGCGTAGGATAAGGTACACGTCCTGAAAATTCTGACAGCCCTTCGGTTTTGTAGAAAGTTATATTGGACCAAATTATCTGTTGGGTCTTAGATAGGCCATTTCTGCAACTTGCACTCACTAGCAGCAATAATTTATCAGCCTGTGTATGATTACTGTTCCCGAATACAGTGTTCTCCGTTGTCAGAAATTCTGGCTTGGTTCCAGGCTTCACAATAAAGATAGGTCGTCAAAATGAAAAATGATTCCACTGGAGAAATGGCAGTGCATCATAGATTATCCACAACAAACCTGCTTCCTTTATCTTTCCAATTCATCTCGAGATATCCAGCAGTATGACAGTTCTTTTCTCCTGCAATAGAATACACCATTTCTCCACCATCACCCCCCACTCTCTGTAGTAAGGAGAATAAAAATGTAAGGCGCTTTTTCAAGACAGAATGGACAAAATAGCAAAAGATATTCGTTTCGACTCTTTATGGGATCTTGTCATTTGGTTTGGAAGAGAACGATGACCAAAGCAACCTTATTGTCTGTTTTTCTAGATGTATACAATGTCCTATAAGTGAATAATCGATTTGAGATTGTGCAGTTCTCAGCGGTTGTCGCGGTTTTGACATAGTGACCCCTCTCTTTTCCTTCTGAACAATTTAACTGCCCTTATTCCCCAATGTTTTCGTTTCCGCGTGCCATCATCGATCCTTTTTCAACCACTCTATCACTAAATTACCTTATTTTACACCGCTTAATTGTCCTCAAGCACGTCTCAAGACCGTTCCTTAACTATACTTACTTAATTAAACTCTTTTCTAAGCGGTCATTTAATTAAATTAAGCTGGTATAGTGTAGTTAAACCCTCCGTTTTTTTTTCCACATACAACTACTTAATTGAGCTAAAAAGGTCGGGGATTTCTTTATGGAAGCATTATTTTTCCCAAACTTCAAACGTTTTCAATCTTTTATAAGCTCATTTTCGAGAAAAACTCCATTCTTTACATACAATGTGACAGCTCTATGAATACAGAATGACATACAGCATGCAGAGTTGCATAGAACATGACAGTTTTCTCCTTTCGAAATCACATTGGCCAAGATCATTCGAAGCTCCTACGCAAAGCAAGAGCATCGATAATGATTAAAAATGATACACAGTATGTAAATCTACATAAAACATAAACTCGTCCCTTATTGTTTTTTACATATATCATGGTTACAAGCCTGGAAGTTACGCTTTAAGGGGGTGCATTTCATATTTAGAGTGGTATTTTATGAATGGGATGCTTTCTAATTCGTTTGTAGAAGAGTATTGCGATGTTTTTTTGGTTGGAAAACACTCGAATTTTTCTATAAAACTCTCACTCTTAACCTAAAAACAGAGACTTTGTATTATTCTATAGTAATAATACAAAGTAATCCTTAACATTATATAATATAAAGAAACTGAACTGAGTTCTGGAATGAACACTTGTATTATTTCTAATAAAAGCTCGCCTTAACAGTCCAATTTGCGAAAAGTTGAGTAACTTTCCCGGAAAGAGTTAAAATTACGTGTGGCGCCATCTGTTACGAGATTTTATTTTAAAATCGTTTACATCATTAATTATTATAAAATGACAGAAAGCTTAATTTTGAGGACAGAGACGAGTTTTATAGTAAAATCTCCACTTAGCGACTCCATCCCCTTGACCTTTAACCCTCAAAATTTCACAGTTTCGAGGCACCTAATTTCGGAAATTTTCGACGGAAAGAACAGGAGTTATTAAGCTTCAAATTGGGTGGACAAACTCCCGCCCCCACTAAGAAAAACCCCAATTTTTTCAAATTTGGGATTTTTTTTTCAAGTCCAAGAATGTAAAAATCTTCGTTAGGGGGGGTCATTTTTTTGACCGATCTGCACATTTCCCCCCTGTTGTAACAGTAAAAAGATAAAAATTCTCCCATTTGTTCAACATTACATTTAGGAATCTTCCTCCAACTTGGTAGCATCATCATACTTGGCACAATCAAGAAAATTGGATCTCTTCTTCGCGTTTAAAGAGGCTAACTCAATCCTGTCGGTGAAAGACAATTAAGTGAGATTGTAAAATTTGTTTTCCTACCATTTACACGTCATCTTTTCTAATTAATGAATGGCAAAATCGATTTTTCTCCTCACTCTCTCTCTCTCTCTCTCTCTCACTCTCCCGCCTTCACTAAACGAAATATTTCGAGAAGCGATATTTAAAATTAGAATGAGATGGTTACATTGTTCATCTGCTGCTGTTTATGAAGGAAAAGTTAGTTTCGGGCTCAATCAACTTTTACCATTTTGTTGTAACAACTTGTGGCATGCATGATAAATGATTCCTTATCGTCGATATTGCACAAACGGCTGTTACAGACGTACAGACACACTAACGTACGTATACATACACACACACACACACACACACATATATATATATATATACATATAAACCTGGAAAAACCGTTTGTACGACTAATTAAAGTGATTAATAACCGTTTCGGGCGGTTACAATTTTCATTCGACTAAGTTAAATGCAATTAAGAGGGGGGAAAAGAGAGGGTTTCAAATATGATTTAGGGTCTTATAATTCAATTTGGCATCGTTTGTTTGTTAGGACTTCGATTGAAAGCTTTTCAATTACCGTATTCCGAGTTTTGACTCTTCTTAAATGGAAAATTGTTGACAATTCGCTGATTAAAGGAATTGCAATTTTGTTGAGGATCCTTTTGTTTTTTTTTTCTTTTTGTTTAGTAGCTCTTCAGCTTGTTGAAGAGGAAAATTTGTCGTGAAGGATGATTTCTGAGTGGGAAAGTTCCTTTGTACTTTACGTGTGAGGCAAGGATATTTTACGGATAAACAGGGATGTAAAGGTTTAGTTTTTTCTTTTTGAAGTAAAAGACTCGAAATCTGTGTTAGTTCTGTGAAGTAGAAGGCTCTAAATTTGGGTTCGTTCCATGAATTAACAGGTGCTAAATCTGTGATGGTTTCATGAATTATCAGGTCCTAAGTTTGGGTTAATTTTATGAACTTAACCTAATACGTCAATGAATTTATGGAGGTATTACACCAATCCTATAATATAAAGCTGAATAATTACTTTACACTCAATTGTAGTGTATTTTTATGGATGAATTTGAACTAAAAATAGTTATAAATTGCTAAATTTACATCATATTTTTCAGCTTTAGGGACGAAAACGTGGCCCAGGCAAGATGGTATGTAATATGGAATGACAGTTTAAGTACTGGTTAACACGAAATCCAGAAGTCATTGAGGCGAGAATGCGCTTAATTCTTAATTAGAGAAAAGGTATGATGATAAAAAAAATAATAAACAATATAAATTTTAGATAATAATAATTAAAGGAAAACGTTTAGGAATGCATAATCACGCTAATTATAATCTTATATTTTCCTTGATGGGGAAGATAAGATTGAAATGACAGATAAGGAGAAGACAATAGCGCTTTTTAAATAGATGTTTATCTGTTTAAAAAGCGTTATTGTAAGGGTAACAGGGGAAATAAATAACAAAAAGCTTACTTTTGCGGTTCGTTTGGATCTCTCTTCTTCTTCTTCTTCTGTACTTTTGGCTTTTTGTGGGTGGTCATTCTGTTGATGGAGCTGTCAATCGGCTCGGGAGAAGGTCTCTTAATCCCTCCGATTAACTGAAAGGAGACAAAAAAGAAAAAAAAAAGAGATTCTTTCATCTATAGTTAGACACAACCAAAAATTAAAGGTTTCGACTGTTATAGATAACAATAGTCCCCTTTGTAAAAGCGTAAACGATGAGGAGCAATCGAAGCAGATGGAAGGGGAGAGAGAGCATCCTTTGTGTCTGTCTCAATTACATCACTAGCACATCATTTATACGTATAGAAATATATATATAAATTTACATCATACCCTCTAGGGTGGTGGTAAAATGTCAGTATCACGTGGATTCCCCTAAGTGTAAGCATTCACTTTGCAATCGTATATTTTTCTATTCTCGATCGAAAATTTGGTCTTTCGCTATCTCCAAACGTCATCGATGTTGGGATGGAGCTTTCTAACTTTATTGAACTTGCAAGCTTGACAGCAAATGTTGACAAGGCGAGTGATAAATCTGGAGTAAGTGAACATCTGTTGTGATGCGATAACTTTCCGTTTGGACGTCGTCTCGTATGAAGTTGCTTTTCAGATTCCTTAAGATATGAGTAATCTAATACGCCTTTTACAATACGGTGTCGACGTTCATTGTCGCTCGTATTATCTAGCTTTTCGTGCGCTGTTGACTCGTACGTTGCAAATGGACGAAAGGAGAGAGAGAGAGAGAGAGAGAGAGAGGGAGTGTGTCTGCCTGTGCGCTTACTTCTGTGTCTTATCTTATTCCAACATGTCCGTTTATTACACAATTTATTCCCGACTCTTTGTTGTCTTCCACTTGTTGCCTACTCTAAAAATTGCCACCCATACGTCATTGTTTCTGCTTCTATTTACCCTTTTCTACGACGTTTAAGTGCTGTAGAATAGTAGAATATTGTATTTTATCCCCCTCTTTTATGTTTTGATTTATCTTTTAAAATTCGATACGTACGCTTAAGTGGAGGAATGAGCCTCCTTCTTCTCCATATAAAGATTGTTTCACCTTAAGGGCTTAGCTGTATACTTCCCCATTTCCTCTCTAGTCACGTGCGAACATTTACCTATTTTATGATGTACTTTTACTTCATTTCGGGAACTCGTCCTTCCTGATACATGTGCCATAACCTGGAACTCTTTGATAGAATGAAATAATATAACCAATCTTGTTGATTTTCGAATTCGACAGGGATATTTCCTTTTAACTTTCTCTTCTTCTTCAAATTGTTTTATGCATCGAAGTTTTTAACTTTTTGCCTTTTGTAAAGTTAAAAAATTCACTTGAATTTTTTATCATTTGTCCATTCTTTCTATACTTTTACTTTTGATTTTTATATAGTTATCTTACTTTAAACTTAGTTCGATAATCCATAAAAAGTACACCTAAAATTACTTAACAGCCCCGTAAAAATATTCCGAAAATTACTCAGGTATCCATAAAACGTACTAAAATTTTCACAGAAACCCATTAAAAATATTCCAAAAATTACTCAACAAACTATAAAAAATATCCTAAAAATTATTCAGTAACCCATTAAAATATTCTAAAAAATCACTAACCCATAAGATTATCTCAAAAATTATTCAAGAACTGAGAAAATATACTAAAAATCGCTCAATAACTGAGGAAATATACTAAAAATCGCTCAAGAACTGAGAAAATATACTAAAAATCACCAAGAAACCCTTTAAAATATACTAAAAGTCACCAAGAAACCCATTAAAATATTCCAAAAATTTCTCAGTAACTCTCAAATAGCCAAAAAAAAAAACATATATTATTCACTAACCCATAAAAACATTCTAAAAATCACTAACCAATAATTTCATCATAAAAATTATTCACTAACCCATAAAATATCTCGAAAATTACACACACATGAACCCATAAAATCTTCAAAAAGTACATAAAAATGTCCCAAAAACTACTCATTAACTCACAACATTCAAAACTCTTGCAGTAAGGGAGATAAAAATAAAAAAAAAAAAAACTAATTACCTGAGTCAAAGGTGTGCTGTCATCACTATCTTCACTTGTTTCGAAACCGGGTGAAGTATGAGTAGAACCAGGTGGCGAGCCAGACATGGGGCTAATCTGAGCTCCCATCTGCCCATTAGTCTGCGATTGATTGAGCATAGGAGAGTGCCCATTAACAATTGGACTGTTGTGTATTGGATTCTGGGGTGGCATCATATGTAAATGTGCCGCTTGCATGTGAGACTGAGACTGAGACTGTATGTGACCACCGCTGTAAATAGGATGGTGATCGTAAGATTGAATCCTGAAAAGACATTCGGAAAATTAAAACTTCTATTTGATTTAATTAAACCTGAACAAACTACATTATCGATTTACATACTGTACATGTAAGGAATGTGGAGGTATTTGTTCATTAACGCCCATTTGCCCTACGTATACGTTATGAGGCCTGTGATGTGGATACTGAGGTTCGATCATTGTCATAGTGTGACTGGAACTTGTAGGAGTCATAACTGGCCGACCCATTGTTTGGCTGCAGGGGGGTGGATCCATTTGGTTGTCTTCGTGATGATTCATTGACTGAAACATAAATCAAAATGATTTTTAATGTCATACTTAGCAACCAATAAATAACTAATGGCGTCGACTATACCTGATGATTGTATACGTGGCAGTTGCTTTCCGCATCTGCAGTTGTTGGTAAATTTAAAGGAGGAATTTCGAACTCTTCGTCGCCAAAACTTGGCGTGTGGAATGTCTGAAAGTTAAAATTAATTATTATTTTTTTCTGGAATACACTAAATAAACTCATATCAGTCTGTACACAACCTTTCTAAACACACAGCACACCAATTCCTGATAAATTATGTCTTCTTTACACCGATAGAACGGGCACGTCTCTAGTGTTCAACAATTATAATAGAAATATATCACTCCCCTGCTAGTTTGACACAGATAGAGAGCAAATTCTACTCGGTTATCCTTCTATGCATACTGTAACAGCACACACAAAATAACAATACTTTGTTACGTTAAACATTTAATCTAGATATGGCCCACCATTATAACACAGGGAAAAAAATTATCTCCGTGTGATATATCTAAGTGATAACGTCACAATAAAAATCCCCACGCAGCTAGTTTATTCGCAAATATCGAAAAATTACCATCCCAAAAATTTTTTCCTAGTCGTTTAGAAAAGTATTAAATCCTTTTACGTTAAACAGAACTTAATAGGTGTTCTTTCCTAGAAGAAATTTAAAGGCAGAGACCCCAGGGGAGAATATAAATCAAAAGAACACACTAATTAAACTCCCTGTTCTAACCAGAAGTAAATTGTTATTATTTAAACACACACATAGCCGCTTTAACAGTGACCATTGAAAGAATAATCATCAACAGAAATTTCTCCAGCATCTGACATTAAATTCCACCACGTTTAGATAGAACTCGGTGATTACAGCTTTCTGACGATGCTTAAGAGGTTCCCCCCATAAGAAATTTAAAGGGTCTACACCCCGGGGAGAAGATAAATCAGAAGAACACGCTAATTAAACTCACCCCCTTCCCATCAGAAGTACTAAAAGTGATAATATTAGAGGGCGAAAAAAACACTATCCCTGTGTGAAAACTCCATAAATAACAAGGGCCTTTTGTTTGCGAATGTTCGAAACAGTGAGAACTTTCACACAAGAATGTTCGATCCGTCTGCGGTTCCCTCTTTCGATTTTGATTAAAAGTGATGGAAATCAGCTCGATACACGCGCTCGCAGTTTTCCAGGGCAGACCACTAAATCCGTAGCGCCATCTGTCGGCAGGGACGATTGTTATAGATTAATATATTCTATCAAAACCCCCTCCTATAAAAGTATTTATTGTATTTATATCGCTTATTTTCTCTCCTTTGAAGGAAGGAAAGAGGAGGGAGGTATAACATTATATCCTGAGCCAGTATAAGAAAATTATATAACATTACGACTGACTCTTACTCTAGAAAAACGGCTTTTTTTTTTGCTTCTTTTTATCTGTAATTTTTCTATAGAAACCTTCAAAAAGCATTATTGGAAATCTTTGAGAAAAATATGAATAAAACATTGAGGTCGAATTCGTTTTGGTCTTTTTTTTTCTCCTTCCTTCTCCTCCTCTTTCCTTCTATCCCGTGCTGCAGCGAGTTCTAATGTCATCTGTCATTAATCTTTAAAGAAAACCAATCAGATATGAAAAGGAGAAGGTAGGGAGAGGGGGGAAAAAGTATATAGGATGGAAGATGGGATGTTGCAATTGTTTATAAAACTGGTTAATCATTACTGTGTTTTATTCCTATTTATAAAAACAAATGCCAAAACCCCTTCCAACTTAGATTATGCAAAGTTTTAACTTAAATTTTTATGAAAAGGAGTAAAAAAAAGGGGGAATTTGTAAAAAGAATAGTAAAAAAAGGGGGGGGGAATTTTTGTGAAGGATAAAGGGGGAAAGATGGGATGTTGCAATTGTTTATAAAACTCGGGTTAATCATTACTGTGTTTTATTCATATTTATAAAAACACTACAAACTCCCTTCCAACTTAGTTTATGCAAGGTTTAGTTTAATTTTTTTATGAAAAATAGTAAAAAAAAAGGGGGGGAATTTTTTGGTGAGATAGAAAGAATCGATCGATGATGTTCACTCTCTCTCTCTCTCTCTTTCTCTTCTAATGCATTTTTATGATCCATTTCTGGTGGAATGGTGTCCTTGGAAAATTTCGGTTTCCTCCCTCTTTGCTATGATGTATCGTATGATTAATTGCATTCCGGGCTTTGATTATTAAAATTGATACTATTGGGGGATCGTTCGACTTAATTAATATGTAGGTTTTTGTTTTAATAATGGCTCCTTATATGTTCTAGTCACGATTTTCGTACCCAGGTTTGGGGGGTGCACCTATTTCAGGCTTATATACTGGACGCAGTTATCTAGTTTGGCAGTCTTTTTTTTCTGGCTTATCTATTACACTGTCTGCTTGCTTCTCTTCATTTACTAGATGTTTTGGCTCTTTTATTGCAATTCTCGTGCTAAATTTTTAAAATATTTTAAGAGTTTTTAGGCAATAAAATTATATAAATTGCTATACAGGCTCCCATACACGTTTTACTCTACATAAATGGCTGGAATACCTTTCTGTACGATTCTAAAATATTCAGTGTGCTTTACATTAGCTTATAAAATTCTTTTCTCTATAACGAGGACTTATAAAATATATTACCCCAATGATATCATTGTATAAATTGTAAGAGAAAGTTTACTTAATTGATGCCGAATAACCTTATATAATCACAAAAGAACACTCGTCTTTCGATGGCGACACAATATCCATTCTTTACTATCATCAAAATATCCCTCTCGTATTGAACAATAACGTTTTATCATCACTAGAACACCCTCTTCAACACCAGTAGTACACTCCACCTTTAAAATCGACAGAACAGACTACACTAGAAGAGAACAGAGCTCCTAAAAGTCACTTCACTAATAACAAGACCACCATTGTTATATATAGCAGAGGAAAACTATGGCTATCGGTTCACAAATGACTCCATCCCTAAGATTTTAACATTTTTGCACTTGGGAGTCCTTAAAACGTTGAGGAATACAAAAAGAATCGGAGTTTATTTTCTGTATGTATGGATGTTAGTGTTTATAGGGGGCGCGATTATGTTCACTCGTTTATGGTTTAATAGCTTAATAACTCTTGTGCATTTTTTCGAAAATTTCTGAAATTTTGCAGGGAGATTTGTGTATTAGGGGCATCAATGCCGTTAAATTTTGGTGGTTAAAGGTCGATGGGGTAGGGAGATAAAGGGGGTTCGTGTATCGTATCTCGGACTTAATGGTGATTTTACTCGTTATTAGCAATTGCGATTTTTTACAAAACCTACCCCTGCCCTCACAATTAAACTTTTTAAAATAATAGTTAATAAAATATCGTAATAGATGGCATCACAAGCGCAGTTTTTAAAGGTCTCCGGGAAAGTTAAGCAACTCGTTGCTGTTTTTTTTAACACGAACTTCACTCTTTAACACCAAGTTAACACAAAGTGGTCGGAGTTAGAGAAAAGGGGAATGAGAGAAAACAAGATCACTGACGACTCTTCTCGTGCTTCACACTTAACCACGCGTTTCGTAGGCGGGAAATCGCATCCAGACGAAGACAACCCCTCCCGTTCCTCCTAAAAAACCTCTATTCTTGGAGTCAACCGGCACAATCCGGAGCGATAACATTCACTATTCCCTCCATAAAAGGAGAAGATCAATACCAATCAAACAGACTGACTGAGTGGAGTGCTGAAAGTCAAAATTTTGCTGACTACTTCTTTTAACAAACACATTGGAGATCCCCGGGGTCTCTTTTCATGTCAACTCGATTTTAATCGATACCCCCGCTACCATAGACGATGCCAAAAGGAAACTTAAAATATATATTATATGCCCCCTCTATTTTTTTGCTAATGGAAAAAGATTCCCCCGCAGTTACACACACACACAACACTATTGTAACCGATTCCTTCTGTACTTTGCACTTCTTGAAAATTTAATAACATTTTAGCAAACCAAGCGTGTTAAGCTGCTCGCATATATATTCCTACATTATTAAGGCTAGTGAGTCTTTGTAAGTGCTCTTCATTTCTTGCCCTCTTATCCTAGTCTCCCCCCTTTCACTTCGGCTCACGCAACATTCGCTGAATTCAAAATTTACTCGGTCTACTCCCCCCTCTGCCAGGCGAAATCATTTAAATTTGCAAATTTTATTGCTGACCGTTGTTATTATGGAAAGTATACTCTCTCTCTCTCTCTCTCTTTCTCTCTCTGTGCTACTAGAGGTTTAATGGAAGAGAAAATGAGATAAATCTCCTTATTAGCATACATTTCTAAAACATGATCAACATATTACATTTTTGTGAGATTGTTTTTCCAATTTTTATAACCTCATTTTTTTCCTCTGTTTCTCTCTCTCTCTGTCTCTCCTCCACTTTGAGGTAGATTGGATTTTTATGATCACGTGAATTCGGCTGCTTTTTTTGTTTGTTAAACACCTCCCTCCCCCCTTTGTCGAAATTAGCAGAATTAATTGAAGGTAAACACTTTTATACGACGATGAGGGTCTTTAAAATCGGGATAAGATGAACGTATTTAGTGTACTTAGTAGCGAGTACAGTAAGTAAAATGTAAAATAAAATAAAACATCATCATCAATTAATTTATCGTCTTAGAAAAGCGTAAAAGAGCAACACGTACTTAGTGTACTTAGTACTTGTTTAGCTTACGTACACTAAATAATACGCGTATTTTTACAGGGCCAATCGTGTGTTGCTCTCCACCCTTATCCAAGATGATAAATTAATTGATGATGATGTTTTATTTTATTTTATATTTTACTTTGTGTACTTAGTGTACGTACACTAAGTAAGTATACTAAGTACTGTACATTGTTTTTTTTTTTGCACACAAGAACAGGGCCAATCGCGTGTTGCTCTCCACCCTTTTCTAAGATGATAAATTAATTGATGACGATGTTTTATTGGGGGGAAAATGATGATAAAGCTTTAACGATTTTAAAACTACTTTTTATTGTTTTTTTTTATGTTTAAATATTAAAAGCTGTTAAAATTTATGTTAAGTGAGTCTGGTGTTATTTTTTTTTACATATTATCACTTGAAAGTTTTAGTAGGAATGGGTGAGTTTAATTAGTGGTTCTTCTGATTTATCTCCTCCCCTGGGG